GAATGTATACAACAACTAAGCTTTAGGGTCCCGTGGGGATGCGTTGTATTCGAGGGATGCCCGAAGTGGATTTTAAACTGGTATGTTGTATTCGAGGGACGCCCGTAGTGGATTTTTTTTTATTTTTTTTTATTTTTTTTCCGTAGTGGATTTTAAACTGAAATCGTGACTGCGCCCTTTTTTTTACCTCTAATCATGAATGTATACAACTCAGGTTTAGGGTCCGGTGGGGGTGTGTTGTATTCGAAGGAATACCCGCAGTTAATTGTAGATGGTTGTAGACGGTTGGAACCGGTAGTAGAAGAGGGAAGAAATGAACTCTTTTGTTGCAGAATCATTCTGAGAAAAAGGGATGTAGGGATGATATAATGGGTCCATCCATATGTATACACCAAATATATATTTATATATATCCCTCGTTTGTTGTCCTCTTCTCTCTCTCTGCCTACGGTTTACCGGGCAGTTCTGTTTGTGACGATATATATATATATGGATATATATATATACGTTCTGTGCTGCGGTTGGGGTTACGCCTGGACGGAGAGGCAGGGTCATCGAGGGAAGCTGGGGGCGTTTACCAGCTTGTAATGAAATTCTTCCTTTTACTTAAAAAAAAAAAAAGTTAATATAACTTAATAATAATAATAGACTTTTTTACTCGTACTTCTGCTGGCGCGTTCATTTCTTTTTTGTTTTTTTTTGTTTTTTTTTGTTTTTTTTGTTTTTTTGTCTTTTTGTATTTTGTTCGGTTGCTGGGCGTTCTAAGTAGGCGGGTGGAGCAAAAGCTTTCATCTCTATCTGCCTCTTTCCTCCTTCGTCCTCATCTTCCCTCTCTATCTTTTTTCTTTGTTTTTTTTTTTCCCCCTTCTCGCTCATTCATCCCCCCCCCCCCCCCCCCCCCCCCCCCCCCCCCCCCCCCCCCCCCCCCCCCCCCCCCCCTCTCCCCCCCCTCTCCAGGGACAACCGGGTCGTCCTACCCCTCTAGAGGGACAACCGGGTCAACCTACCCGTCTAGAGGGACAACCGGGTCGTCCTACCCCTCCAGGGACTCGAGGCCTCGTCCCCGCGCACACAATTTTCATACCCAGAACGCCGCCACCAGACCTAATGAAAAACGGGCTATCAAAACCATCTTTTTTTTTTTTTTTTTTTTTTTCGTCACCAAACCCTGTGGGGAATCAGAACAAGTCATGGGAATTAATAATTCAACAAAATTTGCATTTGTCCGATCTGCGTTTTCGAAGCTGGCCAGCAGCTTATAAAAGATGAACGCCAAAAGACTCGACACCTTCGAAAAATAAAAATAAAAAATTAACAAGTAAAAACACTACCATCGAAACCACGCTACCATCATCGGATCATATATATTTTTCTTCTTTCCCCCTCATTCCATTCCCTCTGTCATTCGTTCGTCGCTCTCACATACCTCTGATAGAAGGGGAAAAAAAAAAATAAAAAAAATCTCTATGATCGATCACTTGTGTGCGTGGGCCGGGCCCACTTTTTTTTTTTTTTTCTGCTTTTGTTTTCTTTCTCAAGCTGCACATTTGGGCATCTCACAAACGTCCGAACTAAAAGTGCATCGCCAATCTCAATCCACTCCCATTAAAAAAAAAAAAAATAATAAAAAAAAAAAATCCACTCCCAACTCCAACTCCAACTCCAACGCTGACGCCTTCAAGAATGCATAGAAGAGAGCTACGTGGATGGGTCTCTTGACGACTCTTTGAGTCTTTGGTATGATGGGTGGGACTCTAATTGGGTGGTTTCGGCGATTCCCAAGATTTGACTTCGTTGACTTGTAAAATTAGTTTTGACATTTTCAATTGCTTTAACAAAGAAATGCTGAATTGGATTGCCGACTCCGACTCCGACTCGGACTCCGATGCTGAATCTGACTCCATCTACGTCCCCATCTCGGTCTCCATAGCCGTGTCAAATCTTGGGTGTTGGATTTTATAAAGCTAGCACTAATCCACAGAGCTCGATAGTGAATCCTGAAATTAGCATTTGCCTTTTAGCCATGATATGAAACCTCAAGCTCCCCTTTTGTTTCGTGTGTGTGTTTTTTGGCAACTCCAACTCCAACTCCAACTCCAACTCCAACTCCAACTCCAACTCTAACTCTAACTCTAACTCAAACTCAAACTCCAAATAAACCGCAACTCTAACTCCAACTCTAACTCGAACTCTAACTCTAAATAAACCGCAACTTCAACGCGAAGTCGACCCCAAGGGCCAAGGCAAGTGCCAAATTTCCGACTCTAACTCCAACTCCAACTCCAAATTAACCCCAACTTCAACTCCAAGGCAACTACAACAGTAGTACAAGTCAATGCGAACAACACCTTGAGTCCATCTCAACCCAAACAAGTCCAAACAAGTCCAAACAAGTCCAAACAAGTCGGGTCGCGCAAGGACTTGTTTGGGTTGGCATTGACTTGTAATACTGTCCAACTGTCGAAGGCCTTTCAGGGTTTTGCCGATGGTCCCCCCGAGTGGAATTGAGCAGAGAGTGCTGATCTTCATACTAGGGGTAGGGGAGCGGAGGGGAGGGAAGGGGCACAGTGACTGGCCCATCGAAGGAGGTCAAGCTCGGTCCCGATGCTCTACCGGCTGACCCTTGGCATGTATCGCCCACCTGCTGTAGTAGGTATCGCACCTCACCTGCTGGTGGGTGCATCTCCCGCATGCTCCCTCCTTGGAGACTTGAGCAGTGCGCGCGGATGTGGCTGCCACGGGGTTGCCCGTAATAATATACTGTAATTTTTTATTATTATTATTTTTTTTAATCAAATCAGTCACTTTTAATTGCAAATATCAATTTGAGGCTATAATAATATACTGTAATGACAATAGTACCTAAGTTAAAAAAAAAAAAAAAAAAAGAAAGTACCTAAGTTGTGTGCTCGACTGTGACGCGCGTCGTTTGTCGCAGGGAGAAATTGAAGAAATCCCTCAAGGAGGCAGAAGACGAGCTGTCGGACATTGAGCTGTGCCTTCGCAGAGCTGGTCTGACATCTGATCAGAGGAAGAAGGTAGCGACCGTCGTCGGGTCGCGCAGGGACAGCAGCAGCAGCAGGGAGCTTGCGCGCGCTTCCCCTCCCCATCCCCATCCCCATCCCCATCCCGCCGCCTCCGCGGGGAAGGCCGTCGCACACTCGTTGGCGATATCGGACGCCGGTCGATTCATCGGTGAACGTGGACAGACAGGCGGTAATAGTGCATCCATCGGGCCAACCTGGTGCAGATCTGGTCTTTGTCCTGCGGCTTCTGCACCTCCCTCCCTGATACAGGAACACAGACAGGGTCGGGATAGTAGGTGGAACGGAGGCGCACCAAAGGGGGCGTGTGGCGTGGAGGAGAAGGTAGCAGAGCGGCAGAAGAAAAAGGAGGAGGAAGAGGAGAGAGAGGAGAGAGAGAAGAGAGAGGAGAGAGAGGAGAAGGGAGACCACCAGCCAGCACAGCACCGGTGGAGCTGCCCGGCGCAAAGTCAGCTGAAGGAACCGGGTGCCCTGCTGCAATTGGCAGTTGAAGGGGGGGTAGGGGCAGTTAATATGGTGGAAGGAGGAGACGGTCCTTTCCGCAGCACGACGGGACCTACAGGGCGTCGACCTTCCATGGGAAACGAGACGTCAACTACGCAAAGCACGATGCTGGACACACCCACGTCGTTCTACACGCTGGGACACGACGGGCATCATGGATGGCCAACGGACAGTCGCGATCGGGGTCTGGAGAATCAACGGGAGGACGGTCGGGATCGGGGTACGGCGGAGAACGAATCGGAGGACGGGGAGTCGGCGTCGGAGGTGCCAGTGTACGTCATGCTACCACTGAACACAGTCAGCGAACAGGGGCTGTCAAATCCCAAGATGCTGGAAACTGCTCTCAAAGCGCTCAAGAACGTGGGAGTGCGGGTACGGACGGATCCTACCTTCTCTCCCCCCCTCCTCCTCCTCCTCCCCCAACCCCCTCCTCCTCCTCCCGTTTTTTTTTCTTTTCTTTTCGGGGGTTAAAAAAAGGGCGCAGTCACGATTTCAGTTTTAAATCCAGTTCAGTCATCCCTCGAATACAACACGTCCCCACCTGACGCTAAAGCTGGGTTGTATACATTCACGATCTCCCTCAGTTTGACTGCCTCTCTCTCTCTCTCTCTCTCTCTCTCTCTCTCTCTCTCTCTCTCTCTCTCTCTCTCTCTCTCTCTCTC